TGCGCTCCAAGTCCCCAGAGACCCAAGGCAGGCGGTCGTGGGCCGCCTTCCTCCTAGCCTTGCGCAAGAGGGGCTGGGGCGTCGTAGACTTAGGAAGGTTCTCCAGAGGGAGCCCTTCCAAGCCATGCTTCGCGAGGGCCTTGCAGACGTCGATCGACGACGTCTTTTTGTCGTTCGTGTCCGTAGAAGAAGCCGACCGGGACCGGCCCCTCCTTCGGTGGCGCGTGGCGTGCCTGGCGCTCTTGGCGACAGCCTCCATGGCCTTCACGGATGCCTCGTTGAACGCTTCCGACGCTCTCGTCGGACCCGCCGGGGGGGGGGGTCCGCAGGCTGCTTCTGGATCCGCTCGACCACAGCAGACACGAGCAAAAAGGCCGTGGTGTCCACCTCGCGCTCTAGTGGGTCCCTGCTGACCTCCTTGGGGATTTCTGGATTTAGGAAGCGGAACTGCCAACCGGAATGGATGCCCGCATCCTCAAGGCGCCCTGTGACGCGGAGCAACTCCCCCTCCTCGACCCGCGGGGGGCACAAACGACGCAAAGTAGCCTCTACAGGCTCGGACTCGTAGTCTGCAGTTGGGGTCCTGCGACCCTCCTTCAAAGGTGAACGTGCCGCCCGTGCGGGCGATGGCAAAACCTCGTAAACCTTTTTGGCCCTACGGCCCGCAGCAACTTCCTCGGCCCTGCGGCCTAAACCAACTTCCTCGGCCCTGCGGCCTGAATGTGGATGCCCTCGCCTCCGCGACCGACGAGGCTGGAGCGCTGTTCGCGGTTGCCTCCGGCGCGAGCGGGACTGGTCGCTGGGGCTGCCCGACCGGCGCGGGGACGGGGCCGGCATGGCTGGCCCGGGGGGGGATGCGAAATCCAGGGAGGGGGCCCTTGCCAACCTAGACCCTCCGGTTCTGAACCAAAACTGCGCGGCGCCGCCCGCCCCGCTCCTCTCCCTACGTTTTTCGTGACATGAAATGCTAGCCTCGCTGTCTGCGGAGAAGAGGGCAGGTGCACGGCGAAAGGGGATCCTCCGGTTTCGCTTCGCCCAGACAAAACTAGACATCTGCGTCTCCGAAGCCACGATCCCGTGTAAATTGCGCGTTCTTCGCGCCCCAGAAATCGCGAACCTTCGTGAGGAACGCAGTATTCGTGTTTTCAAGGCCACAACCATTCACGCACGGGCTCCAAGACGGTACGAGAGGCCTCCGAGACGGCCTGCGAGTGTTCCAAGGCGCCCAAGATGGTCCCGATCTGGCCCAGGAGGCCCCCAAGGGCCCCCCCCAAACACTCCAAGAACACCCCGAAGAGGGGCCCCAGAAACCAACGTCTGCGATGCTCCTCAGGTTTCTGATTGATTTTGCCACGCTCATATCTGCAGTGGCCCCTGTTCGGAGTTCCGACGCTGTCTCTCGACGGCGCCCAAGCCTCATTCTCCGAGGGAATGGGCCGGCAACAGGGGCGAAGCCCTTGCGGATATTTTGCACTCCGCCGAATGGGCCGTGTTGGGAAGCAGCGCGCTTTTCGGCGTTGCGTCCAAGGGGGGAGGCATGCCGTCTCGGAAGGCTCGGAAGGCCTCCCGAAACTACAGAGGGCTCCCCAGCCAAAAGAGGGCTTCTGAAAAGTCCCGAGTACCTGACCCTTCTCACATCCCCCCTCGGCGCGCCGCGGAATCATAGCAAGGGTCAACGCACGCTCGGCAACGACTCCTCCAACAATCAACCCGCGCACATGCGAGCCCGAAGTTTGCCGCAGTACGAACACTTTCGTTCCCCCAGCGTTGGAACAAACATTGACGTTCCAACCTGTATCTTCGCAAACACCACCAACCAATGACACGCATCATCTAATACGGAGAAGCGTGACGCAACAACATCTAAATCAGCATGGCGGGCGCGTGGGGTAATATCATATGCTGTTGGGTTGTGACCAGAAGTCTGCCTCGAACTGTGGGACATTTGGCCGAAGGGTGGGGAGGGGTGTGTGTCTGGGTCTGGGCCGGTGCTTAGTCGATCTGCTTTTACCAGTCGCGCAAGCAGACTGGGGGGGGGCCTGACAAGTCGCCAAAGGCAGCTGCAAGCAGCCAAGATCTGGTCTATGTGGGGAGGAGGGTGGGGGGCGACGGCCCGCGCCGATCTGCGAAACAATGAATAGACATCTGGAGCATCGTCGCGCGGCGTCTCCACAACATTCCCGTTCTGAAAGGATCACGCGCAACTCGGAGCGAACCACACGCTTGTACAACTCACGCCCCCATGTCCGTCTCGCGCCCGGCTCTTGCACCCGAGTCACCGAAACATTGCTGAGATGCCCAGACCCAGAACTCACTAACAAAAGCGTGATCCATCTCTTCTTCCCGCCTGGAGGTGTTGTCTTCCACGGCAGGCCACTGCGACTGCAGAGGTGCACGAGGTTGCTCAGCTGCCGCCCTGTGAACTGTCAGAACTTGCATTCTCTGTCCAGGCGTTTGATGGGTCGTCAACTTCGCGGGACTGGTAGCTCGATAACACGCACTGGGTCGCCTCAGCAACCTGAGCTACGCACAGGATGCAGCACGAAATGAAGCAAACACTATGACTTGAGCCTCCTGTTCGCTTGTGCCCAAACCCAAACGTGCCCTCCACCCCTCTTCGCCTCCCTCTGATATTGCCTCTCTCCGCCCTCGCACCCCCTGCCGCGACGGCGAGTGCAACATGCCGCCCTACCAAGAGCTGGAGCCCATGATCTACCAGGTGGGGTGGGGTGGGTTGGCGGGGCGGCCGGGCAGGCATGCTGCTGTTCGCTTGCCCACGGACCCCGCTGGGTGGATTGGCGTCCCATCTCAGGCGTCAAACCGGCTTCACGCACCGCTGGTTTGCTGATGGGCGCACGAGTTTTGCTGGGCATGGCGTCCATCAGCGCCCACTCCAGCCTCACATCCTTGAGATTTGCACACCGCCAAGGCTTCCAGCACAACCCTCCTTCCCCTCCTCCTCCTCCTCCTCCTCCTCCTCCTCCTCCTCTCCTCCTCTCCTCCTCCTCCTCCTCCTCCTCCTCCTCCTCCTCCTCCTCCTCCTCCTCCTCCTCCCCCTGCTCCTCGCCCCAGATCATATTTCTTCTCATCCTGCTCCTGCTGCTATTGTTTCTGCTGCTCCTCTTCCGCGTCCCACTTCTCTCCTCTGGTCGCAAAAAAACATCCAGTCCTGACCATACTTCCCGAGAAACTTCCGACTGTTAAACCCCTCCACAAATTATCCCGGGAACTCTACCTAACAGCGATGTGTATAAGCATATCTGGAAGCATTCCCCTAAGATTCAGGTGAGAATCCAGTTGTAGAATTCTGCTGTTCTCGCAGTCGCAGTCGCATTCGCAATGGCAGTCACAGTGGCAACGGCCTTAGGATCCAATGGAATCCAAAGGATTCCTAGGGATTGCTAAGGCATCCTTAGGCATTCTTAGGAATCCATACGAATCCTTAGGAAACCTTAGGAATCCTGATTCCTAGGGATTCCTGGGGATTCCTCAGGATTCCCAGGGAATCCTAAGGATTCCTAAGGATTCCTGAGGATGCTTAACTATGCCTACGGATTCCTCAGGATGCCTACGGATTCCTATGGATTCCTATGGATGCCTCAGCCTGCCTCAGTTTCAGCCTCAGTCTCAGCCTGCCTCGGCTTGCCTCAGCCTCAGCCTCAGCCTGCCTCGGCCTCAGCCTCAGCCTGCCTCAGCCTCAACCTCAGCCTGCCTCGGCCTCAGCCTGCGTCAGCCTCAGCCTCAGCCTGCCTCAGCCTCAGCCCGCCTCAGCCTCAGCCTCAGCCTCAGCCTCAGCCTGCCTCGGCTTCAGCCTCAGCCTCAGCCTGCCTCGGCCTCAGCCTGCCTCGGCCTCAGCCTGCCTCAGCCTCCCCTCCTCCCCCCCCTCCCTCCCCTCCCCCATTCAGCCTCACCTTGTCTCAGCTTCGGCCTGCCTCGGCCTCATCCTCATCCTCAGCCTCAGCCTGTCTCGGCCTGAGCCTGCCTCGGCCTCAGTCTCAGCCTGCCTCAGCATCAGCCTGCCTCAGCCTCAGCCTGCCTCAGCCTGTCTCAGCCGCAGCCTGCCTCAGCATCAGCCTCAGCCTCAGCCTGCCTCGGCTTGCCTCGGCCTCAGCCTCAGCCTGCCTCGGCCTCAGCCTCAGCCTCAGCCTGCCTCAGCCTCAGCCTCAGCCTGCCCCAGCCTCAGCCTACATCAGCCTCAGCCTCAGCCTGCCTCAGCCGCAGCTTGCCTCAGCCTCAGCCACAGCCTCAGCCTGCCTCAGCTTCAGCCTCAGCCTCAGCCTGCCTCGGCTTGCCTCAACCTCAGCCTCAGCCTGCCTCGGCCTCAGCCTGCCTCAGCCTCAGCGTCAGCCTCAGCCTGCATCGGCCTCAGCCTCAGCCTCAGCCTCAGCCTGCCTCAGCCTCAGTCTCAGCCTGCCTCAGCCTCAGCCTGCCTCAGCCTCAGCCTCAGCCTGCCTCGGCCTCAGCCTGCGTCAGCCTCAGCCTCAGCCTGCCTCAGCCTCAGCCTCAGCCTGCTTCGGCGTGCCTCAGCCTCAGCCACAGCCTCGGCCTCAGCCTGCCTCAGCTCGGGCATTCAAAACATGGCACAGGACTGGTGTTCTGGGAACACGAAGATCACGAAGTGGCCCACGATTGGCTCTGGGCAATCAAAATATGGTACAGGAATGGTGTTCTGGGAACACGAAGAACACGAAGTGGCCTACAGTTGGCTCTGGGCATTCAAAATGTGGCCTGGGAATGGTGTTCTGGGAAGACGAAGAACACGAAGTGGCCTACAGCTGGCTCTGGGCATTCAAAATGTGGTCTGAGAATGGTGTTCTGGGAACAGAATCTGTAGGAATCCATAGGAAACTATAGGAATCCATAGGAGTCCCGGGGTGCCCCGGATTCCCCGGATTCTCCCGGCACCCACCCAGACCCCCCGGGGAGTCAAGATGCTTTATTTTGACCCCACTAGAAGCCTATCAGTCTTCGCTGTTAGGTAAAAATTCACCCTCAACGTCCTCGAGCTCGGACCACCCAGCGCGTTCTTCTTCGCCGCGGCGCACGAATCGCCCTGGGTGGGGAAGCGACAGGAGCGTCTGGGGAAGAGCGGGACAGAAGAGACCCCCCGCAAACGAGGGGGTGAGGGGGTCCCTCCCCTCCCCCCCGGAAAAAGGCGACGGGGGGTGCAACCCCCCTCCTCCCCCCTTCCCCTCCCCAAGCTGCTCTCCCGGGGATGTTCAAAATCCCCCCAACCGCGGGCAGTCGCCGACGACGACGGCGACGGCGACGACACATTGTTGCGCTGGCCGGGGGGGTGGTTCGACCCCCCCCCCGTCCCCAGGCCCTCTCGGGGGGTTTCGAACCCGCCCCCACCCCTTCTCGCCGCCGGCAAACAACGACGACGACGACGACGTCGTCGCAGATCTGCGCCGGCGCCCGTCCACCTGTTGGAGAAGAAGGAAGAGGGAGAGGAGCGGGGGAGGAGGAGGAAGAGCAGCGGGAGGTGGCGGTGGTTCAGGGGTGGGAGCGGCAGTGGGCGAGAGAACGCGAAGAGGAGGGGGAGAAGGAAAAGGAAAAGGAGGGGGAGGATGCGGAGGAGGAGGAGAAGGAGGAGGCGGAGGAGGAGGAGGAGGCGGACCACGAGGACGCAGCTCCCGAAGGAGCGCGGCGGAGACCAAGGGGACGGCCTGACCAACATGGTCTTCCCGCTCTGCTACAAGAAGGTGGTGGATGCGGTCGAGCGCGCGGCGGGCCTCGAAACGGATCCTGGGAGGAGCTACGCCTACTATACCAGGACGACCTCGACGTCGTCTGTGCCACGGCGGCCGCGCAGCCCGCTGAGGAGGCGTTCGGGCGGGCTTGCGCCGAAGTGCGACTGCGGCCCAACCCGTCGAAGACCAAGCTGAGTCCTGGCAGGGAGGTGCCTGTGGCCGCGTTGACGGGCCGGTGGGTGGTGGAGCCGCGGGCGCTCGTCCTAAGGCACGGGACCTTCCCGCCGGTGCCCGCGGCCCCTGCTGTCGCCCCAGCCGCGGGGAGCATCCTGGCCGAGGGGAGCCCAGAGGTGTCCGCGCTGGCAGAGAAGCGCGCGCGCTTCTTCCTGCGGCTGCGCCAGCTGCAGGCGGCGGGACTCGACCGACAGACTGCTGCGGCGCTGCTCCGACTCAAGACGGGCTCTGACACACGTTCGTGGCCCGCACTTGTGGCATCCCGGAGGCTGAGGCCCGGGCCATGGACGCAGCGCTAGCGGCGGAGGCGCAGCACGCCCTCGGACTACAACAGCTGAGCAGCACGGCGGGCAAGCAGCTCTTCCTCGCTGGGAAGGACGGCGGCGCTGGGTTCCAGAGCGTGGAGCTGACCGCGCCTGCCGCCCACGCCGCTTCCTGGCACCACAGCGTGCCGCACTGCCTGAGCAGGCTGGGACTGACGGACGCCAGCGCCCTGGCCGCCCTCAGCCCCTGGGCGAGGCGCTGCCTCCCTGCGGCCACGGCCACGCTGCAGGAGGCGCTGGGGGACACTACGGCCCAGGTGGGCGACGAAGGACTGGCAGCAACGCAGCACTCACTGGCTACGGCCCCTCTCGCTGCGGCTGCCCGCCTGGTCGCCGACCTCGCGGCAGGCGAGGGCCCTCCCGCGGCGGCCGCCTTGCGCTCGGCAGGGAGGGCCAGGGGCGAGCGGCTGGCTGCAGGCCCCCACGAAGGCGCGCCACCGCCTGAGCAACGCGCAGTTCAGCATCGCAATGGGAGTTCGCCTGAACCTCGACCTGCCGGGCTGCACTGGGCTCTGCCAGCACCGCCACCCCAATGGCGGGACTTGCGGCGCGCCGCTCGACCCGAAAGGCAGACACGCGCGGGCCTGCCCGGTCGGCGGCTGGCTCGTCCGCCGGCACGACGCGGGGTGCGCAGCGCTCGCGGAGTGGTGCGAGGCGCAGGGCTGCTCGGTGCACCGCGAGGTGCTGCTCCCGCACGCCTCTCCGCAGAGCCCCGAAGCGCGCATGGACCTAGTGATCCACGCGCCCGGCGCCGTTGGACCGCTTCTGGTCGACCTCACGGTCGTCAGCGCGGTTTCCCAGGACGCCTTGGCGCTCGGGGCTGCGAGGAGGGACGGGGCTGCCGCAGCAGCAGCGGAAAGAAGGAAACGAGCTCGCTATCCTCAGGTGCCCGTGGTGCCCTTCGTAATGGAGGACCACGGGCGGCTGGGGGAGGAAGCGGCGGCCCTCGCCAAGAGGCTGGCGCCTGCTGACGACGGTTCGGCGGCCATCCGCGAGCTCCAGCAGGCCCTTGGCTGCGTGCTGCAGCGGCACGCTGCGGACGCGGTGCTGGCCGCCACCCAGGCCAGGCCCTGGCGGGCGGCCGCCGCGCTCCGGGCGGCGCCCAGCGGGCGGCCAGAGGGCGCCGCGGCGCTGGGCGGAGGAGGGGGAGGCTGAGGGCAGAAGCGGCGCCAAGGCGGCTGGAGGCGGCGGAGGCGGCGCCGGCGCTGCAGGGCGGCGCACCGGGGAGCCAGGCTGCGGCTGGGGGCTGGGGGGCTGCAGGGGGCCTGCGGGGCGGCTGGGCTGCGGGCGCGCGCGGGCAAGGCCAGGGGCGCCGCTGCGAGCTGGAGGAGGCTCGCGGACAGGCAGGGCAGCGGGCGAGCGGCGGAGGGGCGCGAGCGCTGGAGGCCGCTGCCCACAACCATTTCGGGGTCGGCTGCTCCCCAGGGCCGTCGACGGGCGGACCCCTGGCTTGCCAGGGGCGTGGGCTCGCCCCCCCTGGGGAGAGAAAAGGGTACGGGTCCCCCGACGGGGGGGCAGCCCCCGTACCTGGCGCCGATGTCGGGGTGGTGTCGTGCGGCGGCGGCCCCCCTTGCGGTGGGGCTGCGCCGGAGGCGCCTGGCGGTGGGACCGCACCGGAGGCGGCGGCGCGCGCGGCGGCCTGGTCGTGCAGGTCCCCATGGTGCTCCCGGGTAAGCCCAGACTAGAGGCCCTGGCTGGCGCACCCCCTCCCCCTGGGAGCGGCCGCCTTTTGCGCGCCACTCCCGGGGGAACCATCCCGTTTGAGGGACGAAGGGGCGAGGGTGTGCGCCGGCTCCCGACCAGAGAGCGCCCGCGGCAAAGCGACTCGCGGCGCTCGGAGGAGGAGGAGGCGGAGGAGGAGGTGGAGGAGGAGGCAGAGGAGGAGGAGGATGAGAATGCGGAGGAGGAGAAGGAGGAGGAAGAGGAGAAGAGAGGAGGCAGACTGTATACGCATCAGACTTTCATGTCCCGCCCGCCCGACCCGACCCGCCCGTGAGGGTCCGCCCGCCCGACTCGCCTGATAGGGTCCGCCCGTCCCGACCCGCCTGTTAGGGTTCACATGTGTCATGCTTTATACGCATCAGACTTTAGTATCCCGCCCGCCCGACACGACCCGCCCGATGCGGTCCGCCCGCCCCACCCATCCGATAGGGTCCGCCCGTCGTCGTCGTCGTCTTCGTCGTCGTTGTGTCGTCGTGTCATTGTCGTCGTCGTGGTCGTCGTCGTCGCGCTCGTCGTCGTCATCGTGCCGTCGTCGTCGTGTCGTCGTCGTCGTCTTCGTCGTCATCGTCGTCGTCGTCGTTGTGTCTTCTTCGTTGTTGTCCTCCTCGTCGTCGTCGTCGTCGTCGTCCTCGTCGTCGCCGTGTCGTCGTCGTTGTTGTCGTCGTCGTCGTCGTCTTCGTGGTCGTCGTCGTCGTCGTCGTCGCTCGTGGTCGTTTGCTGGTGCTGACTAGGGGGAGGGGGGGGAAGGGGGGGGAAGGAATCGAACGTTCCCCCTTGCACCAGGAGGGGGGGCTCTCGCCGCCGGCAAACGCCGTTGTCGTCGTCGTCGTCGTCGTCGTCGTCGTCGTCGTCGTCGTCGTCGTTGTCGTCGTTGGTGTCGGCATCGTCGTCGTTGTCGGCGGCGGCGGCTGCCGGTGGCGCGTATGGGGGGGGGTCGGAAGGGGGTTTCGAACCCCCCCGGGAAGGCCTGGAGGGGGGGGTTCAAACCCCCCCCCCCCTCTTGGCGCAAGAATGTGTGTCGTCGTCTTCTTCGTCGTCGTCGTCGGGCGGCGGCGGCCTGACGGGTAAGGGGGGTCGAACCCCCCCGGAAGGGCCCGGGGAGGGGGGGGGAGGGTTTGGAACCCCCCTGGGGGGGCCCGGGGGGCGGGGGGAAATGGGGGAGGCGGTTGCGGACCTCCCGGTTCGTGGGGGGGGGGGTTTGCAAGGGGGGGATGTTCGGGGGGGGGGGCCTCCCGGTTTCCGACCTGAGAAGGGATTTTTTTTCCGGGGGGGGAGGGGCACCCGGTTCTGTGACCTCCCCTCAAGGATTTTTTTAGCATAACCGCGGTGGATCGCGCTCCTTCAGGTATTGCGACCCTCGGCCCACGTCCTTTCAACAAAACTCTCCCCTGGTTCATTTTTGGGGAGCATTTCGGGTCAAACTCGTGGCCTCCCGGAGAGGAGAGGATGAGATGGCAAGCAGGAGCCAAGCAGGCGAGTAGGGAAGTATGAGTGTGGTGGACATGATGAGCAGTGAAGGGAAGCAGAGAAAGACGGATGGATGAGGAAGACCAGAAACGGGGGAGGAGGACGGACCATGGAGAAGGAAACCATGACATTTATAGTTTGCAGGAGGGGGCGCAAACCGTTGCGTTTCCTTCAAGGGCGTGGGTCCGAACAAGAGGTTCAGTTCGAAACGGCAGGGGCTTACCTCGCAGCGGAGGAGCACCAGCATGGGGAAAAGGAAACCTGGCCCACCCGACTCAAATCCGCTGTCCGCCGCCACCGACACAGAGCCTTGCTCCGCGTCGCCCACGACATCGCGTAGAAGAAATGGTTATCGGCGGGCGGGGGGTGGGTGGGGCGACGACGGGCGACGAGGGGCGGGGCAACAACGCATGAACAAATTTACCACCTGTCTTCGGGTGCGTCCCGCTTTCCATCTGTCGGACCGTCTATCTTCTGGATGACCCTGGTGGAAAACGCTCTCGGCAAACCCTCTGCAACGAGCTGCGAGCTTGACAAAACAACCGACGGTGCCATGGCCACCGCACTTCCGAAAACCGTGTGCCCCAAGCCGCCAAACTCAAGGAAGGACTCGG